GTTTGTCATGTTTGCGATAATTCTGTTAGCCGGAGAGGGTTACATAAACGAGTGTTGTAAGACACGCTTACAAAGATTCTCCGCAACGACCTACAGCTGCGATCTGCTTCCAGTAAACGAAGCTTTATGGACAATAATTCGCAAGCACGAAGTAATGAACACTGCATGTGGCAACACCGGTCCTGAGGGTGTTAATAATCTCAATATTCCCAGAAGTACGCGGCATCGATCTTAAATTGGAGAGCTTATTTGTTTATTGAACGCAATACGGATATACCTAATGTAGTTTCTAGTGAAATAATTACTGGATATTTTTTGGGTGACGAATATTGCAGGCAATTACTATAAGTATCGATTTGAATAAAGACACTGTTTGATTATTCACTGTAATTAATATAATGTTTTTAGTCCATAATTGTATCTAGAATATATCATTTAAGTGCTCATATATTATCATCTTCATCTAGAATTTCGATCAACCTCAGACTGTCGCCAATTGTTCCCATCGAGAATATAAGTGAGATTGCGTGCAAATTATATAAATCTTCAGCCACTTGTGTAACTATTTTAATTAGCATTCTACACATCCACATCGCAGACTATGAATCGTTTATGTCGCCCGTGCCACTGGCTGGATTGTGTCTCTGTTCAGTCTGCTAAGTAGATCCCGGATCGGTCCTACGGTTACTATGAGATCCACTTTGCACTCGTGTCCGTAATTCTGACTGTAAATTCGGAACAGTATAGAATAAGCTATTTCCCACATTTCCGATTAAAATGCCGTTTTCAACGAACGCCAGTTGGTTTGGATCGGTTTCGAACTGGAATTTGATGGACTGTAGGTAAATGTCAGTTTTGCGAACGTGACATTTAGTATTCTAAAAAGTTTTTAGCTACTAAGTAGTCATTTAAATACTATTTATGATCTTCTCTTATTATGTTCCGCTAATGCATTTTTTTTTCCAAATGATTTCAATCATATATTTTAGTGTACAAACATGTCATTTGAGGTATCAATTAAAATTTAATTCCAGAATATTTTGTTGGTGTTTGAATGCGTAGACGCAATAAATTTTGGGCAGGCCGCACACGATGGCGCTGCGTGACGTCACACCTCCAGTGATCGATGGCAAATAAGAACGAGATAGCAACAACAAGTTAACGATTAAATTGAACGTACTAAAGCGAGACACGCGCTCAATAAATAATTCCATCTTAAATTATTTTGAATCCAATCCTAACTACTCTTTAGGAAGTACATTGACTCCTTGTATTTTTGACTAATATTAGTTTCGTATTAAAGAGATTGTTTTGTTATCTGATGATTTTTTTTTTAATTTAGTGGATTTGCCGTAACATGTAACAATGAAATATGCAAGAAACGAAGACTATATATCATTAAATTATGTGGCTTAAAGTATCATGTATCTATTATGCATCTGATATACTATTTACTATGTTTCTTTTGTTATTATGTAAATTCTTGCAAATCACCTGTAACACTGCCTAAAAGTAATCAATAATTGTTTTTATAAAAGACGTTTGCAATTGCTCTTTTAGTAATTTTGCGAACAGTCCTTTCATCCAAATCCATATTTTTTGGGCAAAGACACCCACATATAAACAGCCGATAAACATGATTTTATTTTCATGAACGGGTAAAACACAAAAACACAAAACTTTCGTTCCTACGTGTTCGAAAACATAAAATAACAAAGTTATAAATTAACAAATTTTAATGTTTAAGATTGTATTGAAAAGAGTGTATCGATTGGTGAGCATGAAGACGAAGAATGGAACAGTGGTGCAGCGCGCGGGAGGGACTCTGACACCTGACCGAAGCCATTTTGGCCCGTGAAATATGTTTATTTGTCATGGCTGCCTTTTGTTATTGAAATTGTGTTTGCCTTTACTCCTTCATTATATTGTTCGATTATACTCTCATGGAACTCGTTTGTGGACGCTCAATGTGAGAATAGCTTCGGAGATTTTAGAATATTGATTGTTGATACTGAGAAATGAGATATAAATTTCAATTAAGCGTCTATTGAATGTGTTTGCGTGTATATGTGACTGAGAATACGCAGTTATTTTCGTGATTATCTCCTCAAACGACGTAACAGGGCGTCGTACAGTGACCAACAAAACAATTGACAGCGTTTTCCAATTTCGTCATTACTATTTTTTTGTTATATAATTTCAGTCAAGTTACCCATCACAAGATATAAATACGCTGCAAAAATATTACTATAAAGTCAAAACACGATCAAACTCTTCAAATGTAATATAAAAAACGGGTATGGTTGCTATCTGCAAGTTTTTATTCGAGACACGTCCTCGACGGGCCGATCGATCAAAACAAATTCACAAGTCATCGGCTAATAAAAAAATGCATTGTGCGCAATAATAAGGACGAGCAAACTCTAACAAACATTGTCACCTCGCTGTGAGACGAATTCCGGACAAAGGGTTTCATAGGATCCGAGTCCGGTGACAATGGCCTAGTGGGTGTAAGATTTTAAATATTGAAACAGGTCGCGCGCTCTCCCTGGAAAACGCCCCGCGGCGCGCGCGCGGCGTCGCACTGTCTCACACCGAGATTCACATACAAAAAACACTATTCACATTTTTTATAAGATCCCTTATCGCTTATATCAACGTTACGATATGATAAAGCATCAATAATGATGTTTCATTCCACGCAAGAAAAGATGCGCGCGCATGAAAATTCGTTGACATTTTTAAGCCGTTGTTTTCGATCGAGAGCAACGCGTTGCCCGCTCTGTTCAAATTATGCGCGTTTTTGTTACCTTGATCGTTTTTTAGGCTAAGCTATGCGGGAACCTATAACTCAACTTTGAGAGCCGGCATCGACGCGCAGGTGCAAACATGCTAAGTGTATTCTTATTGTTGTAAGGGATTGGGTTATCAGTGACACTATCTCCGCCGTTCGACAAATGTTTGGGCTGTCAGAGGTGTGACGTCAGCCAAAACGAGCCAAGTCACCCAATCGCTGACTGCCTCTCGATCAAAATTTAGTAATACATAAACGTTGTTTTTCGTTTTGTAAAAATCTAGAACTACATGATTGAATTCAGAAAGTTCATGTATATTACGACGCGCATCTATCTGATAATAGAAGCTATGGAGGACAGTGTCAGCGGCTAGCAACAGTAAATCTAGTAACGTGTTAGAATCAATAGAAATCACTGAGCTTCGGCCCCGGGGAGTCATCTATTACTGGCTGCGAAGGTGGAAGCTAGGTACGGCCGATAGCTCTATGCGTCGTTGAGGTTAATTTATGACGCCACTCCAATATCGGAATATCGGTTTATCGACGCCGAAAAACTATGCAAAAATAAAGATTTGCACGTTTATAAACAATGATATGTTAAAAGTCATTTTTTATGGGATTTTATGACCTGGTAACTAAGACCTTTAGGTCAAGTCTTATTTTAATTTTAATAAAAACTTTTTTATATGAAAAATGATATTATGAAATGAAATGAAGTTGATCAATATGAAACATTGGATCAAATGAAATGAAATGAAATCGAAATGAAATGAAATGAAAACGAAATGAGATGATATGGAATGAAATATAATCTCAGTAAAGTGGTGGTCATTTACTGAGACTTCTTCAATAGACTTTTTGGAGGATCCCGAGAAGTTAGTTACGTTCAGCGGCTTTGTTTCATTTTCCCACATTTGTGCACTTTCCTACATTCGTCACCAAGAAAACTGTTCGAACGCCTGAAGTAAGGTTATGTCAATTAAGAATAAGCGACATTAAAACGTAAAGCTTTAATTATATCTACGTCTCACGAAAACCGAACAAAGTACTAAAATGCTTACGTTCTTGATGCATTATTTTAACTACGAACTATTATGAAATTTAAATGACGCCGTACTAACATGAAAGCCGAGACATCTAATTAACGAACAAATAAAGATTTATGTACCGCGCTGTCGATATAAAGTAACGTTTCCTTTATGAACATCAAAACGTCCTAATTATTTTACAACGGGAGATGAAACAAAACGAGAAACTCGGAGACGCCCAAACGCTCTTGTGACAGAGAATTAATTGCGCGTGGCGACACATGCGGCGGAGGCTGGGGCACTCTCTCGGCGGGCTCACGAGCGGAGCGAGATACCAATCTATCTATAACTTACAACTTATGAATAAGCACTTGCAGTTAGAGCGAACTGTTTTTATTTTTTCATACGAAAAACGGATCGCTATCTTGAAATACCGTATTTTTCTCCTGAAGAAATATTAAATTTCTCAAATTGTAATTCGTAATTTTTTTTAATAAGATATTTAGGTTTTCTTTTGCTTAGATGGATGGACGAACTCACAGCCCACCTGGTGTTAAGTGGTTACTGGAGCCCATAGACATATACGACGTAAATGCGCCAACCACCTTGAGATATAAGTTCTAAGGTTTCAAGTATAGTTACAACGGCTGCTGCACCCTTCAAACCGAAACACATTACTGCTTCACGGCAGAAATAGGCGGGGTGGTGGTACCTACCCGCGCGGACTCACAAGAAGTCCTACCACCAGTAATAAAAGGTATTTGTATTTGAACATTAAACATAGAAAAAAAATCCCCGATATGTTAGTGGGCACTGATGTCGAACGACTATCGTCTAGTTTATATTTATAGCTCGGCTGAAAACTTAAATCGTCACCGCGATGCACGCGTCAGACGCACTGTCCGTCTGTCGTCAGCGTCGCCCGCGTGTGGCCGCCTGATACACAAAAAATTACGTGTCACCTCCCTTTGTTCAGACTGGACATACCTTTCAGCGAGATGCAATTAGTGTGGCAGAAATAGCAACCGTCGATAGTCGACAGACGAAGCTATGCGATTTCGAACAGTGGACTCTCTGATCTATTTTAGAAATCAAATGATAGAAATAAGAACGAGTCTCGTGATGCCAAATAAACCGCTTTCAACCATGGCCGGTGCCAAATCACATCGGGTACTCACGAGCTGGTTCTGGTACGCTGTGACAGCCGTGAAGACGCATTCGGGAAATATGAAGGTCTTGAATTCTTCTTGTTCGAGATCGGTGATGGGCGCGTTGACGGCGCCCTCTCGTCGCAGCACCAAGTGAATCCGAGGCTGATATTTGTGCATCGAATTTAGTACTAGCTGTAACAAAACAAAAAGTTATTTATGTGTTACTTATATATTGAAATTTTACGAAAATCAGAAACTAAATGTTCCTAATGCTCTATTAACTAGAAATGATTTCGCGTTTCGGATTTTCCCCGTATTTTCCTTCTCGATATTAGGACGATTATCAAGTATCCAGTACGAGTCTGCCTATGTTGGATCTATAAGATTTTGGGGTCCAGGTACTAAATGTATTTTGATCACGACTTACACGTTCGCTTTAGTTATAAAATTGTGGTATTTTCATACCTGTCCGTTTTTGTCCATTTCGTTGTTGGTGAGTTTGACCTTCTCGAAGGAGACGACCTGCTTGCGGAGCTGGTCGCCGGAGAAGGGCGAGTCGGGATGCGGGTAGAGCCGCGCGGGCGCTGGCGGGTCCGCCTTGCCGGCGACGAGCCACGAGGAGCGGTGGTACGCGTACCGGTAGCGCTTGCCGTCCACCGGCACCACGTCCAGCAGCACGCCGTACCGCGCCTCCGCCCGGCAGCCAGCGAACGACACGCGCACCGTCGGAAACATTCGCCTTTAAACAACATAAAGAATGACATTACGTAAGATTTGAACTATTTTTTTGGAACGAAGTTCCTTATGGGACGATGCGACGGGGTACCCACCCTAACGTCCGTAACGTAAGATTTTTATTAGTAATGCACACAGTGTACGACTTAACTTTGTAATAACCTACAAAAAATAACATATTTGTTTATCATTCATTGACCAGAATCTCAGAGGCACGTTACCGAATGACCGTGAGTTGTTGCGAAACCTCCAGTTTTATTTTCTTTATATCTCGAATAGAACTTTAAATTATTAATATTTCTATAACAAGGAACTTCGTTCCTATCCGGTGTCCCACGACACCACACATCTTTTTTTTATTGCTTAGATGGGTGGACGAGCTTAGGTCTAAGGTCTCAAGTATAGTTACAACGGCTGCCCCACACTTCAAACCGAAACGCATTACTGTTTCACGGCAGAAATAGGCAAGGTGATGGTGCCTACCCGCGCGGACTCAGTAAGTATCTAACAGAAAAATCATCGATGTTCATAGCTCAAATGTAATTCGTTTACTTTTACAAGATTAATCAAGCAGTAAACGTAAACTATTCAACGTGTTTTATAAAATTTGAAAAAGCGACGTAAGCGTTATTCTTTTCTCCTTATCCCGCTAAGGTCCGCCCCGCCTATTTCTGCCGTGAAGCAGTAATGCGTTTCGGTTTGAAGGGTGGAGCAGCCGTGGTAACTATACTGAGACCTTAGATCTTATATCTCTAGGTATGTGGTGCATTTACGTTGTAGATGTCTATGGGCTCTAGTAACCACTTAACACCATGTGGGTTGTGAGCTCGTCCACACATCTAAGCAATAAAAAAAAAAGGTCGGTAAAGTTGTAAATTTTTTATTATTTCTCATAATAAAATTATCGCCTTCCCCATTGCATTGTTATGTCAAAGCGTATATTTTCACATTAACGCAATTATTCGACAATTACTTGGTTGAACTGAGGCTATCGCTTTGTGAGGTGACCGTCGCGAATCGTCTTTCCCTCATTAAGGCCAGCACTTGGATTTCATATCGCAGGTTATCTTTGGTACCTAATTAGCACTCAAGTGCTCGTAAACAAATACAATTCATATTACCGCTTCGGCAATACCTAAAACCCTTTTATCCGCGCACTAATTAGTTGTTTTGCTCTGAAATATTTTGTAAATCAATATCGACCGGAATATAGTTAATCAAGGCAGTGTGTGTCAGAAAAAATACGATTTTTTAAAATCATTAATGTGGTATCCCCACTGATTTTAGTTAATTTTACCATGAATTATCGTTGATTGTATTATAAATTTTTTTTTTCTTTTGTTAATTTTTAGGTAGATTGGTACTTGGTGAATTGTAATACCTCCTAGATATTTTAAAAATGTTCTTGGCATATTGGAGCATTAGTCTTAATACTAAACTGGAAATAACAGTGGTATCTTCCCTATGGTTTTTACCCTATTCGCAGGTAGCCTAAGGGGCTATTTCAGCTACGCCCGGACGGGTAGGTGAGTTCACGGGCTCAACCTGACAGAATTTGCTAACACTAGCACTAGCAAGAGCAGTGCTTCTACCACCAGATCAGAATCGCGACCCACTGAGAAGATCCGGCGTGAAACTCAGTAGGTTGTATCTGTAGGTTGAATTCCCTGTATAAAAATATGATACTATTACTACTAAATTGTGTTTTAAAGATAGACAAGTAAGGAAAAAAGTGAATGTAGAGGGTACGTCTCATCATCTATATCGCAAGCGTGCACCCTACTGGCAGTGATGTAATAAATACTATGTACGAAGAAATATCATTTTAAATAAAAAAATACTCATAGATTCAGATTTTAAGATTTCTAACAACATAATTTTTTTTAAATTTCTACTTTCTTAATTAATTCTACATCTCATTAATTCTACATCCATTGGTGCAGATTAGTCCAAGCCTTTAGAGTTGATAGTAAGTATCCTATATTCTACTTCTGGTGCTTAAAATGACATTCAAACTTTTTTGTTATTTGTGCACAGATAAATAAATCGATTACCTACCGTACAATGGGGTAAATAGGGACAAAATCGACCTTCAGATTGAATTTTAAAATAGTTCCAATTAAATAGTCACTGCTCAACCAAAGAAATAAGTTGAATCTTGAACGTACCTAGGTGATAAAAACCGTTATATAATTTTAATTATTCATTTTAAAGAAATAATCGGTAAAATAATGGCCGTCCCAATTTACCCAGCGTCCGGGGTAAATTGACACGGTTAAGGGTTAAATTGGGATATTTGTAAGGGTTGTCAACTCGCAGTACTGCGATATATAGGTAGGTGCCATATAATTATATATATGGACCGAAATGATGAATACAATCCATAATTTAAGCACAATACACAACATAGTGTAAATTAAGCTGGTTTCTATTCCGAAGCGATGTGACGTGAATGATAATCAACAATACAATGATCAAAAAAAGTATGTGCATGTTATATTTTAGAAAATTATTATTTAATTTCCTTAAAAATCACAACTCTGAATCAAAATGATAAAATAGAATAAAAAATAGAAAACAAAAGGACTGGAAATGCAATAATACAATTTTATTTAATCAACATTTTCAAAATAATCTTTGAGCAAGAGTAAGATATCAGGTGAATAAGATAAAAAAAACAGCTTTATCTGATTACTGCCAATAATAACAAAAATAAAAGAAATTCTTTCTAAGCTAAATAACTAAACTCAATTAATTCACTCACTCATAATTGGATATCTCGGATTTTTAATTAATGTTACATTTAAAATCTGAGGCCTGTTTTTATTTGTGTGTGCGTTTTGAATGTTAACAAAATCATGATTCGACGCGTGAATAGATTCTGAAATAACAAAAGTTTTGATTCGTTTGAGTTCTTTTAACTTTTAATTTTTTTTATTGCTATAAAGAACATACGACCGGGCAGATATTACAAGGTAAATGTCGCGAAAAAAAAGTAATTATATATATACTTTTCTTTTACCTATAATACTTACATAAACTAACTGATAAACACATTAACCTTCTTTACATCACGCAATTAAGTGATAGTATAGGCTAAAAAATCTATTATAAGATATCAGTGACAACCCTAACAAGCCATCCCTATTTTGTCTTTTGGCGTTCCAATTTTGTGTTTTCTCGTCCCTAATTTTTCCAGTCTCGTTCCCAATTACCCTACATACGTCCCAATTTTCCCCAAAAAGAAAGGAAAAAATATACATTTTTTATTTTGTCGAAATATTGTATTTAAAATAAGAATATTGCAACTTACCGTTTGTTGTGGTATTTCCAGGTGTATTAAAAACTTATATAAACTGTGATCTTATTGAAAAAACAACGATAATATTACTTTTTTTAAAAGTTCTTTAAGCTGTTTTAAAACGCACTTTTCAACCACTATTTTCAATTTAATTTGACGAATTTTTGGGACCAACTTAACTCATATTTAGTACTTCCATAGTTAACTTGGTTTTTCTTCTATACATTGATAAATATTAACATAAACAAAATTAGGTAGATTCCGTGCTACAGGTACTTTGAGAATCTTCCGCAGGTTTGTCCCAATTTACCCCAGGATCCCAATTTACCCCATGTCATGGTACCTGTCAAAAGGCGTTAATAGCGATTTATCTCTTTTTTACTTCCAATAAAATATTCTAATACATAATTGTATATGATAAAAGAATAAACACCAATTATTTCTGTTATAAATTGCTTTAGGAGGTATATAATATTTGTTTTTAAATAAACTATATTTATTTCCACCTAGCTTTGGGTTGATGTATTTGTGTTCAAAATGACAAGTCGGCGCGAGGGTCGACGTATGTTCTTATATCTACTTCCCCTCCACAAGTAAATTGTCAGCAATAATATATGTTTAAGTAAAAATAATAAAAACCTCTAACCGAACTGACGATTAGGGCTGAATTTACGTTACGCATTTTCTTGATTGGAAGAGAACTGGGAACCGGCAGAGTGTGTTATGCCACGCAATTTTGATTCTAAACGACCATGCTCGTTCCCCTCCTTAACGGAGACATTCTTTAATGTCTCATGTTGGAGAAAGATGAATGGGTACACATTTTTGTAGAGGTGTATGTTTTTGTTCACTGACTGACATTATTTGCGGTCGTTTGACGTAATAGCACCTATTACCATCTTATACTATTGCGGCTTCCTGTTGTTATTCTTAAGAACAACGCAATTGCGTATTGGTTTGTGGCCGACGAAAATAATTAAAAACATACACATGAACCGGCTTTGGTACCAAACTTGCCATTCGTAAAAAAAAAGGATGAGTCGTTATAATAATAAAAGTAAAAATTCCTGACAAAAAAACATTAACTATAATAAACTCGTTATGCGGAGAAAGGAGTGTCACAAAAACCGTTGTCGGTAGCAGGCGCGTGAAACACTATCTTCCAATCGACACAAAAATGGTAGTCATTGAGGCGGCGAGAACGGAAATAACGTTTATTTAGTTGTAACCTGAGACGCTTCGTCTATTGGCCTCTCACTTTTTGTCCACATCGAGGCTCGATCTATGTGCCCGTGAATAACGGCATCACAATTCGCCATCGTACGCCGGTGCTTGCGCAATGCGTAACCGGAATTCGGCTTCTGACCCGCGTAACATCACAACAACGCTCATAACAAATGCCAGGAGACCACCCAAACGGCTTAAGGTTAGGCACAGCCATTATGATTTACAATACCGTTCTGATTAAGTCGATTTCTCCTAGAAACTTTAATGCCCCGGCGTACAATAAATGGTACGTGGAATGTTTAACAAAAGCTAAATTGCAAAATGGCCACGACGACGTTCGCTTCTAATGATTTTACAAGATGGAGTGAAGACGAAAATAAGAATACCATTAATAAGATTTATGCACGTTTAGTTGTGGTCGCGCGCGTCGATTTGTGCGGAGCTCCTTATAGCATCTACGAGGCTGCATGCG